GCGAACGCGGCGGGCAGGAAGCAGACCAGGCTCAGGACGGTGGTCTGCAACGGCTTGTGGTAGGAAAACGCGCTCATCGACGCGGCCAGCGCCCAGAGGGAGGCGGCGCAGAGCAGGCGGTGCCAGCCGTGCCCGAGGGCCCGGGGCCGGCCGGGCGGCGCCAGCGCCACGCAGCGCTCCAGGCAGATGACGATCAGGAACAGCGGGCAGCCGAAGAGGTTGAGGCCGTAGAAGGCGCGCACGGCGCCGGCGGCGCTGTCCGACCCCGGGTGCAAGGCCAGGTAGGCGTCCAGCGGGAAGCACAGACAGTACAGGGCGCCCAGCCCGGCCAGGTTCGCGAGCAGGACCTGGGAGAAGGACCACTTGCTCTTGCTGAGCAGCAGGAGCCAGAAGAGGGCGCCGTTCGCCGGGAGGCCGGCCACCAGGGCCACGATCTCCACGGACAGCCAGGCCCTGTAGCCCCCGGGCATGGCGCCGCAGGCCGACACCACGGCGCTCATCGCGAACGGCGGCCACGACGCGTTGCCCGTGAGGTTGGCGCCGGTGCGGGGCGCCGGGCTGGGCTCGACGCGATCCATCGGGCCGCCGCGGTCCCGGAGACGGAGAGGACCCTGGAGGGGGGAAAAAAAAGGAAAAATCAATCAATAACGAAAATAATATCCCGCGCCTTTGCCAAACACAGTCTATCCGAGCCGCCGCCCGAGACGTTGATGAAAGGAGAGGCGCTGGTTCGGGGCGATCACTGCCGGCTTCGGAGCTCTGATTTGAATGGCGTGTGAATATGCAAAGACAAAGACACCGGCCTCGAACCGGGGTCTGTTCTGCGCCACTCTTTATAAATAATAATAATAATAATTGCTTACACTTATATAGTGCTTTTCTGGACACTCCACTCAAAGCGCTTTACAGGTAATGGGGATCCCCTCCACCCCCACCAGTGTGCAGCATCCACCTAAATAAATGTACTTCAAACGCTCCGGCTCGTCTGCGCCTTTTTTTAGCTGTAGCAAAAATGCCCCCCTCGCCCCTCAAATCAAAAGAAGACTGTGCTTTTTTTTCTGCAGACTTCCATTCGGAAAACGTTCAGCGGAGTAACTCGGTACGACGGAAGCAACGGGGATGTGTGACGACATTCCCAGACGTCTTAGTCTACCGCATTGGAATTCCAGTTCAAAACGCCAAATCCGGATCTCATAAGTACCCGGGAAATCACTTTTATTTTACTTTTATTTTACAGTCTGCCCTGCCATTCGTGGAAGCCAACTTGTCTCTTTTATCTCTTTTAACTCTTTTCCTCGGGGAATAAACCTTTACTTGTCCCATTCAACTGCTCTGTTGACACTGGCAATCGGAGTTTCCGATACCTAGACTGATAGCAGGAGGCCCGTCCTCACGCCCTGCGTTGTAGCGCACTAAGGGAGGTTGGACGAAGTTTCTCCTATTCATTGATTCATCCCCTTTCTAAAAACAAAACAACTTCCAGCAGCGACACCACACAAACTGGAGGAAAAAAAATAAATAATTCGTCTAATGATGAGATCGGCCAAACCATTAAAAACCCCAACGTGTGTTATTCTTAGCATTTTGGTTGCATTTAGGGGTGGAAAGGTTGAAAGGTTTCTGTTTTCAGGGCTGAAGCGTGGAGCCACGGGGAAATCATGCTTCGCTTAAACAAATGTAGTCAAACCTTGACGAGTTCAGGCACATTCGGTGCAGATGTTTGTGTATCGGCGGAAGCACGCACACGCCTCCAACGGACTGTGAACTTCACCTCTCTTTGAACTAAGAAAGGTTAAAAAACAAAACTCCTGTTTGTGAACGACACACGTACCCGGATCTGCACAGAAGTCCAGCAATCTTCAGTAATCTGATCCCGCCGCGCACAACTGCAGAGACGGCAGCCCGACAGTCCGTGGCGGTTAATCCGAGGATCCACGGGGTGTTTCCCTCTGTCGGGGGTCGTGTTGTCGAAGTCGCGCTGGTGGGCTTGGTAAGGAAAGAAAACAGACGATTCCAGAAGTGAGGTTTGCGGTCTTTTAGCGGGAAGACGCCGTTTGTGACTCTCAATCTATCAGGATTGAAAATCATCGCGAATTCCAGCGTCTTTAAAAAAAAAAAAACTCATTCACCCAACGCCTTTCGTGGAATGGAAATGAATGATCGTGGGGAGAGACCGTCTCTCTGTAGCGCCTGTCTGGACCCTCCACTCCGAGCTCTTCCCAGGTCAGGGGGAATCCCACTACCCCCACCAGTGTGCAGCCCCACCTGGATGATGCTCCAGTCCTCTC